GAGTTCTTGGGGCAGCACCGCTTAGCCACACCAGCATCCCAGAAGAGGAGGGCAATCATCACCTGACGCAACAAAATGGTCGTCTGGAAAATAGCCAAATTACAAGCGCTGATAAAACAGCGAGCTACGTCCTCAATTTGCAAACACAATACACCGACAGATAGTAGTACACCTCTTCTAGCACTGAGGACATGTCACCCATCATCCTTTTGGGGGTTTCTTGCAGTAAACAATTTTGACTTTTTCCACTCAACCATGCTAAAATACGTCCAAACTCCCGCAGCAGGAATGCTCGCCCCTCCGCGACGTCTAGTCAGCAATTTCTACTCCAATATCACACCCAACGCTGCAGAACATGGTGTATTGTTGACTATGACAAGGAAAAGCAGCGGTGATCACTTGTCACTTCAAACGACAAGCTTCTCCATGCGCCACCAACATCATTCGGTGCAACAGTTGATGCAAAAGTGACTGAATATTTGCGTGTAGTTTTTGGATTTTACTGCAAGAGGAATGATGAAATCACGTGCCTCGTGACGCAAGAATGCCAGGTCTCGTAGATCACGGCTGAGCAGCTGGTCCGAGTCAACTTGATCAAGCGCACCTGTACTTACATGGATCACCCGTTGATCTAGATTGGATCAAGTGCATCTTGATGCCCAGCTCAAGAGCATACATGTCGTGTTGTAGGCCTTCCAGCCCGGGACTTTCCCTCAACATGCAGCACAGAGACTAGGGTGAGTAGGGCTAAATCACGTTGCTCACGACGTAAGAAATCTGCCATGTGGGTGCGCCACGTGCCCCATTCAACCAGTGTAGGCCGCGCGCTGGTCAACTCCAAGCGACCTTGATCAAGTTCATGGCATGCTCGACGGTCATTCCTTGCCGTTGCAGATCTACGTCGATCATCAGCATGTAAACTAGCCATGGTTCCTGTTGAACCATGAACATGTTCGGGATGAACGAGGTTAGTGTGAAAAAAATGCATACCGGTACCTGTTCTTACTGCAAGAGGAAATATCTCAAAGATTTCTTGTCAATGCAATACTGCTAGCGCTATAACGCTAGTTTCTGCATGTTCTGAGCAGAGCATGCAGGAAATATAATGCATCTTACCTCCTCCATCATGGTCCGTGCCGAATAGCGCCACAGGAACGATCGTGATCGTGTGCATTGTGTCGTGCACCAGAAAGCATTATTCTACGTCACGCAAAAAATTCAGTCACTTTTGCATCAACTTTTGCACCGAAAAATGTTGGTGGCACAAGGAGAAGCTTGTCGTTTGGAGTGACAAGTGATCACCGCTGCTTTTCCTTGTCTGAGTCAACAACACACTTTGTTCTGCAGCGTTGGGAGTGGTGTTGGAGTAGAAATTGCTGACTAGACGTCGCGGAGGGGCGAGCTTTCCTATGCAGGTATGAGTTTGGACGTATTGCAGCATGGTCGACTGGAAACATTCAAATTTGTTTATTTCAGGAAACCCCAAAAAGGCTGATGGGGGACATGTCCTCAGTGCTAGAAGAGGTGTTTCTACTATCTACCGGTGTATAGTGTTTGCATACAGTAGGTATCGGTTATAGCGTGGGTGTTTGAAAAACGACATTTGATTCTTATTGCCGATATTTCTTACACACGATAAATCACGTGTGACATAATTATCATATGCGCGCACGTTTGGCATGTGGACACGTACTCGTACACATGATACACACGGATCAATCACACTCGCGGTCGTGCTAGGCGACTGCGGAGCAGCGGATACGAGAGAAGTCGGAAGAAAGAGTCCGACTGGACAGAAAAAGTCATTCTCCAATGCTCCCTTGGACATAACTCTCTTTTTGTGTTGAATATTATTGTATTGAGTATGCACAGAGCACAGATGTTATTACTACAGGCGATACACTTTGCACTAATCTGGCATATTTTGCTACACAAAATCCATTCTTAGGGCCGATATATTCTACTATGCGATAATACTGCTTGTAAGAATAAATATACACATAAAATATGTGTAGAAGAGAAAAGGACATATGGATACGAGTTAAGAGTAACTCTCCATCACTGTAACATGATACTTTATACAGTCAGAAAGTGCAATAACTAGGCACAAAACTGACAGAGTACTGAGACATTCGACGTCCTGACACCTAGCTTCAACACATCTCCGTAGCGCTAACCGACAGCCTTCCAACTTGGAAGGTTCAAGGTTATGGAAAGACCAAAGAGGGGAAGGCAAGCGCAACGAAAACGAGCAAAAGCTACAGTCCCAACGGAACAAAGAATGTCGATTGTTACTGGACGATGACGAGACCAGTACGATATTTGACAAAGCGGTCTAACTACAATTCGAAGCAGCAAAGCAGCACACCACCCAACTTGGGTGGGTCATAAATATCAAAGATAAGTAAAGAAAGGGAAGCTTTGCGAAAACGAATTGTACAAGCCGAAAGCCAAACTCCTACAGTACTCCTCATGCATGACATTGTGATGGACTAGTTGACTACAAAACAAGTTGTTTCACACGACGTACGTTTCGCCGTATGGTTCGTGACGGCTCATCAGGTGTGCAATATGAAACTCGAGGTGTCAGGACGTCGAATGTCTCAGTACTCTGTCAGTTTTGTGCCTAGTTATTGCACTTTCTGACTGTATAAAGTATCATGTTACAGTGATGGAGAGTTACTCTTAACTCGTATCCATATGTCCTTTTCTCTTCTACATTTATTTATGGCTCAACATCCGAGTTTCATAAAATATGTGTTATGATTTTGAAAAAATGAGTGTTCATTCTTGTAAGCAGTATATTCTTGTATACGACCACACTATAACCGATACGCACTGTACTTGCAAAATGGGAACAACATCTGAGAGACCGACTTGCACAAATGTTCTGGCTTCTCAGACATGCCCTCTAAGGCAATGTTGGCTTGATGGAGTTTTGTTCGTAGCTTGTTCTTGTACGCTGTGGCTCGTTTGTAGTCCCATGAATCATGCATAGTCAGCAATCGCATGTCATCTCGTACATTGAAAATCAACATAATTTTGCGAATCGACCTTTTTTTCAGGATCACTTTTCAACGAGGACGAAGCAAAGTCGGCCGAACGAAGCCTAGAGGAAGAAAATCACCCTCTCCACTTCACCATCACGATACTGACATAGATACGAGATGAAACAACTAAAAAATTCACAGGAAAACTGTACGACCATCATCGCGCTGACTTTGGTCTGACTTTGGTCTGAGAATTTCTATCACGATCAAAAATGTACGAGGAGCACTCAAAAATCAGCCACAGACGTACCTTTATCGCTCTCTACTCCTTTTTCAAGGCACAAAAGTCGACTCTCCACTTTCAAACCAGGAACCAGACATACCAGTGGTCCTTTTCAGCTGCTCCACGAGCGCAGGAAATGTTCACCAAGGGGCGCAGAGCAGCATCCATTCCAGAAAAATAGCTAAAATACGAGTGAGACTGCATGCCTGAGTACATGAGTACATGTATGAGTACATGCAGAAAATAGTCAATTTCAGCGTTTCTGCTCCAAACAGCAACCAGCTTCGACTAGAAACAAAGATTACACCAAAGGATCAAACAACAACGATTTTCTGCAGTTTTTTTTGCAGTTGGCTTCCTTGTGCTTGGCCCAGCACGCCAAAAATCACACCTCGGAGGAGTACAAAAATTACAACTCTCAGATGTCCTTGATTGCTGGCCATGTGCTTTTTGGCCAGTTTTGAGGGTATGCCAATTTCAAGGTTCCCTTCAGAAACCTTTCCGCGGTCTTTGCAGTGTCGATCGACACCCCAAAGGAAACTTACCTGCAAAACTTTAGCGAAATTTGAGAGATCGACTTGCACAAATTTTCTGGTTTTCTGAGACATGCTCTCTTAACCCTTTACCAGCCGCAGGATTTATATGTAAAAAACGGGGTCCCCTACTGCACTAGATTGATAATAGAGACTAAACGGGAAATAATTTGTATTGACACCTTTATATTTCTGGAAAGCTGGTAGAATTACCTTTCATATGAGACTAAAACCAAGCTGATAACATCAGAAACGTTGCCATTCATGGCGAACACTAACTCGAGCAATGCGGCCGAATTAGCAAATTCGAGGACCATGACAATATGTGCACTGTTCAGCTTCAGCTCATGCACCAGTTCATCTGTCAAGATTCAGACACCAGCAGAACCAGGCTGCTCTAGCGCTCATTTTGGTGCATGTCACGCATGGGCTGTGCACTGGCAAACACATACTTCAGCATGAAGTGCGTCACAGCCACACGCTTGAAATTTCAACTCCACCCGTTTGCTGGACGTCGAGCTTCGGCGCTTGAGTATTTTACTTCGCGCTATATTGTTGGAAAGCTGCGTTCAATAGCTTTCCAATGTGCCTTCATATGTTGAATTTGAAGTAGGCAGACCAAAGTTATAGCTGTTTGTACAGTGCTCTATGCTTGTTTAGCATGAAATGTGCCAGAGTCAAACGCTTGAAATTCCAACTTCAACCTGTTTCCTGGACTTCGAGCTTCGGCGCTTGAGTATTTTACTTCGCGCTATATCGAATGAAACATCGTTGGAAAGTTGCGTTCAATAGCTTTCCAATGAGCCGTCATTTGTTGAATTTGAAGTAGGCAGACTGAAGTAACAGTTAGTTATAGCTGTTTGTACATGAAGTGCGTCACGCTTGAAATTTCAACTTCACCCAGGTGCATTCAACCGCGATTTTCTCGAGAAAAATGAATTGCAGCACACGGTTTTCTCGATGGTAGGTGATTCCGTAGGTTTTCAGCAGTAGTTTGCGATTATTCCGACCGCGGTGCGGCAAAAGGCCATGGTTTACAGAGCGAAAAACGAATGCGTCGAATTCGACGCATTCGCACTATGTACGGCTGGTAAAGGGTTAAGAGATATGCCTGGGTGAGATGCTTGGCTCATGTTGGATTGGAGTGCTATTTTTCATTTCTTGCACCTTGTCTCACTTTTGCACCTTATACAGCTTATGCACGGCAAGCTGCTCCCGCGTTCTCACAGGGCATGTGCGAGGCTGGATGGGTTCAGGATGGCCAAACCTGCTTCTACCTAGTATTTGAAAGTGCTGACAAGTTACCCTGGTCCGAAGCCAGGTCTGAGTGCCAACGGCTTGGCGGTGATATCGCCATGGCTAGGACCAAAGAGGAAAATATTCTCATAATGAAGTTGATCTTAGAAAACCAACCACACTTCAACCAGCGTGTTTGGATCGGTCTCTCTACCCAGAAGATAGAGGGCTCCTTCTCCTGGGTCGACCACCAGCAACTGGAAAACCTTGCACACCGTCATTGGACCTGTGCCAAATGGTTCTACAACAGACAACCATACACAAGGAGGGGAGCCCTCTGCAGTGTTATTGGTAAGCTGCTTCAGACTCCCGCTATTTATTTCTCCACTCACAAAACACACTGCTTGAATGTTGCATTTAAGATCTTATTTTCCCTCCCTGGCCCCAGCCACAGAACAATGCAACGAGCTGGTTGCTTATACCTGACTTTTTCTAACCATACTCGACAGGGGTGCAGAACGTGACAGGTAACAGCTAAAGCACTGACAAAAGTGACCCTCGTGCATGTTGTACATATTATGTACAAAGTTCAGTACTAGGGCCGTCACGCGAAATTACGCGTCTATGAGCGACATCCACAGAACCTGCTGGAAGAGTATGCGTGTACTCGAGTCTCATCTTGAGCACGTGTTTTTCTTTTTCTTTTCAGCTCCAGTATAGCTGTATTTTTCATTGCAAAGCTGTCCTCGATTGTTGGGGTCGTTGTTCAAATGAAGCGGACATTCAATCAAAAAGGTAGAGGTCATAAGAGTTTGATTGGAGTTTCTCGTGGCACATGACGGCCACACAGAGACACTTTGCAATTTTCTGAATATAAATACCGTACGCAGGATGCAGAGTTCAATTTGTGCGATATCAAAATTGTTTGTGATCTACCACATCGAGCTGAACGGGATCCAAACACAAGCTTACCGACAGTAAGGCTGCCGACCGGACTGGACAAAATGATTCCTGGCTTCACCAGACACCAGAAGTCGGAAACCATGTCCTTTGCCGCAACGTCCATCTCCATAAAGAACTCCATCTTCGTCTAAAAAGGCTTGAAATGCTCAATATTCAACTGAGATTCGCGGTCTCACGCTTTCTCCGATCGAATCATTTTTTGTTGCAGCAGTTGCAGGGTAGATACCTGCCACTGCTTCAACAGGGTTTCGTTTCACAGCATGCCTGGAACAAGCCATATCAAGGTTGCAAGCTACCCCTCTCAGCAAGAAGTTCGAAATTTTAATGGTGGAAGGTATACTACGAAGAGAATGCCAAAATGTATGGTTGGCGGCGCGATCGTTCAACCTACATCACTCAAACTTTGCAAGATGGTTCTGCTAGGCATGGAACCACAGGGTTTGATGTCAAAGCTGAAAAACAAAATTAACACATGCACAGCACATTCGTGCGCACAGATACTAAATTAGTGGACGTTGTCATCTAATTTCCCGCTGGTCTCAAATGAAATATGACGTGCTATTTCGCCTGAAGCTTTGGGTGTGCACACTATACTGTAAATGTACAAATTTTCAGCAGCTATTTAATTTCGGCTATATTCGGCACCGACCCAAAACGCCTAAATTAAAACGCCGGTGAAATTTTTCACAGCATCTGTCGCACTATACTGTTCAGGGCAATACGGACAACCCAAGTCACGACCACACATCGAAAACTACTGCTCACTTGAAGACTGTATAAAGTGTATTCACAAACAACAACAAATCTGAAAACTCTCAAAAAGAAACTAAACAAAAAAGCCACGAGGTCCGCTCGGCTCCTCGCGCACCAAGACCATCTACGAAAATGGAGGCATCAAAAAGTATTCTTTCTAGACCAAAGAGTGGTATATTTGATAACATTTAATAACGATAGAAATTTTTACGATACTTCTCCAGACGTTTCGTTGTTCTGAACAACATCGTCAGTGGATAAAGAATCCACTGACGATGTTGTTCAGAACAACGAAACGTCTGGAGAAGTATCGTAAAAATTTCTATCGTTATTAAATGTTATCAAATATACCACTCTTTGGTCTAGAAAGAATACTTTTTGATATTACAATGAGAGTGAATAATCAACGGCTTGTCCACCAACTCTTTGAAAATGGAGGCATCGCAGTTCGCCTTCAAGGAAACAGCAACTATTGCAGCGAAGCGGTGGAAACTGCATAAAAAAGCCATAGATCACGGACACAACAGAAAAAGCCTGTACCAAAGAAAGCGCATCGCTAGCCGTGCAGCATTGTACACACACAGCGCACAGTTCACTGTACATTTGGCAAAAAACATAAAAGAAAATCAAGACTGTTCAAAGCGCAAAAAACACATGTTCACGTCATGTTCAAGGAAATTCAAACGAAGAGAAAGGAGAGTAGAGAAGTTTAGAGAAGTACAAGAACGAAGAAATGGAGAAGAGAAACGTTCTTATGATGAAGAGTAGAGAGAAGAGCAGAGAGAAGAGAGACAGACTGGAAAGCAGTTCTACAGAAGACGTGAGAGAGAAGAAAGGTGAGAGAATAGACAGAACGAAAATAGCAAAGACAAAGTCCACAACAAATTCAAACAATGTCGATCTTGCTCACAAGTTCAACCATCAGGCAGGAACATTCTCCCCCCGGTAACAGGCATACTCACAAGCCTGATTACTAAGCTGCACTGCTGAGGACATTCCGGCGGCACAACTTGACTACTGGTCGGGGGAAGGTGCCGGTTACCGTCTTTAAGTCTGCAACTCGGACTTTCCGATCACGCCCGGGAAACACGGCAGTGACGAGACCTCTGGGCCAGGAGCCCCTCGGCAGCTGATCGTCCACGATGATTACTACATCACCCACACTGATTTCTTGACCAACGCCACGCCACTTCTTGCGTGTGCCGAGGCTGGGGGCATACTTCTTCAGCCAACGTCGCCAGAACATGTCAGCTAGAATCTGCGATAGACGCCACTGCTTGCGACAACACAGGTCGCGCTCCGTAAACTCTCCGGGTGGCTGTATGCTACTAGATGTGCCGAGCAGAAAGTGGTTAGGCGTGAGGCTCTCCGGATCGTTGGGGTCCACTGGCACGTGAGTCAGTGGCCGGCTGTTGACGAGACTCTCTGCCTCGATCATGAGGGTCAACATTACCTCGTCCTTTGGAGCACGCTCATGCAGTATCAACCGCAAGGTGGACTTCACCGATCTAACCAGGCGCTCCCAGGCTACACCCATGTGCGGAGCAGATGGCGGGTTGAAGCTCCACTCGATGCGAAGTAACGCCAGGTCGGTGGTGAGCTGGTCTTGGTCGAGGTCGTTCAGGGACTCACGCAGCTCTCGTTCTGCCCCTCAGAGGTTCATTCCATTGTCGTAAATGGGAAGGATATGAAGGCCAAATGGTAGTACCTTATCGACATAGTACGAACCCTCCCAAAGTATGCCAGATAGGGGCCAGTCATCCAGGAAAAAGGGAAGAGCCGGAGGACATGCTTCATGTCAACTTTAGAAAGGAGAGCTCCGTGGGCCCTGCAGGAAAAATGCAGCGTACTGCGTCATCTACCGTGACATGATGCAGGGAGAATTCGTCACGATAAATGCCCCCATTATTGCTAGAGCCGCTAGGAGCAGATAAATGCAGGGTGAGGCGTATGCCGCCAGACTTCTTGAGCACAATGCCAACGCCATAAAATCGGATATTAGGAAGCGTGGGTTGGGAATAATGCGTTGCCATGTGGCCACGCCTGCATTCAAACTAAAGGTAAGCAGAGACGGTGGCAGGGTTTTGCAGTGCAGAAGGGAGATTAGGGGTGATAAGGCGGAATATATTACCACGATAGCCAATGCGGGTCCCAAAGCGCATATCGTGATAAAGAGAATGCACAAAATCGTTATCGGGGTGCTGGGATAGCTCTTGAACTGGAACTATGGCTTTATGACAATGTTATTTATTTGCTTTTGTGTCTTGCATCAAGAGTTAGCGTGTGCATGCTTCTGTGTGTCTGACTCATGAGTCATGCTGATGCTTGCGAGCTGTATGCTACTGTACGTGCTGTGTGCGGATCATTCTACTGCTGGTTCTACATATGACGTCTTATCTCTTCAGTACAGTCATAGTACTTGCTGCTTTGTCCAACTGTCTGATGCATGTTTCCTGTGACCTCGTGCATGAGCACGTGGGCCTGAGTTAGTTCCGGAGATGCATATGTTCCGGGCTTGAGGTAGTAGTTGGCGGGTTCCTTTCGATCTCCTTCAGATTTCTCATGGACTGCAACGTTCAATATACTATAATTTGGTACTGCTATAAATATTATCTGTATCCCTGTATTTCCCTGGATTGGCTGTGGTTATGCCTGGTTGGGGTTGGGTCGTTGTGCAGTTGGAGTCACGTTCCGTTCCAGAACTTATGGTGCCGAAACCCAGGACGCAGAGGATGAGTAAGTTTGAAGTGAGTCTGTTCGTCGTCATCGTCGTCAACAACGAAGTAACTGTTACTTTGAAGTAAGCAGAGCGTGGGAGCGGAGGAGGTGAGGAGCTGGTGGGAGCGGAAGACGACGCGGAGAGGAGGCAGAGAAGGTGGTGGACTAGAACTGTGGACTGGAGCCTGAGATGGCAGGAACCGCGACGGAGCGTGTGGCCGTGGCTCGCCAGAGGACAGTGGACGAGTCTGGCATCACCGACTGTGTGTCGTCCTTGTTGTTCGTCTTGTTGTTGTCTTGCTCGCTGTGTTGTTCTCTCTCTACTCAGTTCGTTGCTTGTTCAGTTGTTGCTGTATTGGTTGAGTTGGGTTGTTGTCGTTCTGTTGCTCTTCTCGTCGTTCTGTTGTTCTCCATTGTTATTTGTTGTAGATATATTTTGCGCTGCTGTGCGCATGTTATTATTTTGTTGGAGCTTCGGCTCCCGTGTTTCGGTTGGCCCTGTGTCGTGGCCTGTGAGTAGAGCATCAGCTCTAGGTTTTCGTTTGGCCCTGGATCTTGGCCCGGATTTTATTATTGAGCGTCGGCTTTAGGTTGATAGTTCGTTTTGTTTTTTCTGTTCTGCTGTGGTTCCTTTTGCTGTTGTGCATGTGGAACGGGGTGTCCGTTTATTATTTTGTGGAATGTCATCAAGGGGGAAGGTGTTTTGAAATGATGTGTTGTTTTCCTGTGTGATGGCATTCCCCAAACTATCTCGTCTATTCGCGTGTATGTGTGATATGAGCATGCGCGATTTTGTAGTCGACAGTCCTTTTGTCAGTCTTCGTGTTCGTCCCTTTGAGTTTAGTCTCGATTTCTGTAATGTCAAATATATAATGTAAACCAAACAAGTCTTGTCCTTTGTGTCCTGCGTCCCGGAGAACGGAATGGCTGAGATTCCGTAACACTCTTCAAACAGCAGGGGAATATTTACAGATGACCAATGCGCGTGTGTGCTAATTGGAGGTGTGGGGTTGACCAGCAGAGCATGTGGGCTGGCCATGACCAGAGCGGCCGCAAGGGAGGCATCTGTGGGTGAAGCGGCAGTTGGAGCGGGCGAATTTCCCTTGATTGAACAGGTGGCATATTTCTTTGTCGATCGGCTGCTGCTGGACCGAAAGGGACGAAATACCCACGAGTCAAATATTGTGCACTGGTCCTGGACTATAGCGTTGGGTTCGCATGGTTGGGTTCGCATGGTTGGGTTCGCATGGTTGGGTTCGCGGCCAGTAGTGAGCGAAATGATCGCT